CATATAATTCCAAGATTTGGTAAAAGTAATGAATATTTATTAAATAATTATTTATTTTAAAATAATTATTATTACTTTGAAGAATTTTAAATTTTTTTGAAATAAAAATTTTTGGAGTTTTTTTATTTTAAAAAATTCTATATTAAAACTTCTTAAAAACCTTTGAAGATTTTCAAAGATTTTTCCAAAAATTTTCGAAAATTTTTTTGAATAGAGATCTTTGGAGACCTTCACCAAAAAAATTTCCTGATGTTGCAGGTGTCATGCTAGTGATTGGGAAACTTAGTAAAATAATACATAATAACCAGGGATTCTAGTTACCCCTGCAATACAAGCTGGTAACAATAACGAAAGTTCCTCGCTTATCCCTCTAACAATGTAGGGCTATTGTACAAGGTTAGGTTTTGGTGTCACTAAGAAAACCAATATGAATTCCCTCCATAAAACATTTCCGCCATACTTGAAGCATGGGTGTTGTAATGGTTTAAATAAAGAAACATGTTGGTCATTAATAGTTTATTATTATTAAAGGAAAACTTTATTAATGGAGAGTGAAGCAGACAATTCTAAAGATAATTAAAGGAAAAATATAGTTTTTAAATACATGTTTTCCCAATATAAATAAATAGAATAAAACACATAAAGAATAATATACATATAATCTTAGTGGTTCTCCTGGAAGATCATATGAATTAATAAAGAAAAAGAAAACAAAATAAGATAATAAATGAATGATAATGTTAATCAAACACATTAATAATATCCTATAACCCCTTGATATCAATTACTAATTGATAACACATGTTTAATTAGTGAAATCATGTTGAATTAATAATCACTATAAGTTTCGGGTTTCGCGTCACTCCGGAGCTTCGGGATCGGCGGATGTCATGTAACTTCGGATATGTGTTTAAGTCAAATCATTAGTGTTCTTCGACCGGAAGTCTAAATCCTTGATTATTAAGAAATCAGTGTTGACAATGTCTTTTTGGCTATTAATAAAAGATGTTCTTCTCATCAAAATACCCATAGTCTCTTAAGATTGTTTGAGAGATTGTCATCTGACTTTTCGAAGAAAATCGGGATTTTTGCTGGATGTCTATAGATTTGTTACAGGTGTGCCAAATTTTTTCTGTGACTTGAAAACAAACCTGTATAAAGTGGCTGCAGCACCTTCATATAAAAAGGTACTCATTTCTTACCATCTCCAATACTACTTCACTTGCCATACATCAAGCCATATTTGAAAAGCAGGTGTGTCAATTCTAATCATGACTTGGAGGCCAACCTGTATAGATTGGCTACAGCACTTTCATGTGATTAGGTATTTATTTATTTCTAGGTAGTTAGATACTATTCATAAACATAATATAGATTTTTGAATTTCTTTTTGTCTGTATTCCTTGAATGGTGCTAAAAGAGCACAGGGGTCTGGTCTTGTATGGAAGCCTTGCATTAAACTCTTTCTAGCAAAGAGAGACATATGTTGTACTATTGAGTATTGTACCTTGCTTTGCAAGTGAAAGTATAATAAATATAATAAAGCATGATAGCCTTTTGCTCTTTTCAAAAAAAAAAAAAAAACTTATAATAAATTCAATATCAAAATAATATTATTGGACACTCTAGTTATTAACAAATAAATCAAGTTAAAAAAATTTATACAATATAATATTTTTATAAAATTTATAAATAATCTCAATTCAAGTTATAAATTTGAAAGCCAACTTGTATAATAGAATTTTGAATTTATAATAACCCATTCTATTAAACTCAATACAAAAATTATATCAAAATTATATTTATATAATCTCTACTGTATAAAGTGTATATTATATATACAAATAAAAAATTATTATTAAATAATATATTATGACGACTAATCACGATGCATGACCGTCATACGCGAAATTTTCGCGACCAATTTAAGTGATTTAAACGTCATCATTTTATAGACTCAGGATTATCATTCTTTTCGAGAATATGCAGGCAATCTCAAAATTCTTGAATTTTCGGAGAGAATCTCCTGAATCTTCAAATCAAGACCGTTTGACTATTGAAGACACGTCGTTGAACCCTATTGTTTTTAGGACTGTTGAGGAAGGCGACATACAAAAGGATGCAATTGAAGAGTCCACGCTTTTAAGTGAAACATCGGATCGCGCGCCCAAAGACTTGCATAGACACGCAGCTACAGTGATAACCATTGACAGAACTATAAGAAACGGTAATACGGAAAAAGTTGTATTGAATATCCAGAACGTGCAATTACCTATTACAATTCTTATTGAAGAAGGTAAATTGCATTTTTATCCTTTGAAAGATGTCGCGTTCTTTAAGAGTACTTATAAACGATATTTCATTGTAGATACGGATAACATGACATCGACAAATAACATCTTCTATAATAAAGAAGCGAGATACGAAGCAGAACGAGACAACTCTGTTGAGGAATTGGAAGATATCTCAAATCCAATAGCAAGTAGAGGTTTTTACGGGCTGGATGAAATTATGATTCGCCGGCAACAGGTGACAATCAAGACTTTCGTAGACAAGATGGTACAAGTTGGTAATGGGCATATAAGTTCACGCGACTTCGCCTGTCAAACGAGTTCGGACGCTTCCCCTGTCATTACAATCAGTGATTATGATAAAGAAATGTCATTGGATGAATACCTAAGAAATTCTGCAGATGAAAGTTATCACAGCGAAAAGTCAACGGATGATGAATCTGACAATTATGATCTCTGCAATGAAATCTGCACTGAATCTTCTTCCAATTCGAATAGAAAAGAAAATTCAATTATAATTCCAACAGAAAAAAAAGGAAAAGATAAAGATTTGGCATCTGAGAATGTTTTTTTCGGAAGTGATGCAAACGAAGGGATGAATCAGGATCATATTGTTGGTTTAATAACACCGGGTAAGGACGAAATATCTTTCGCTAAAACAGCTGTAACTTCAACTACGGATAGAATAGCAGAAAATTTTTGGAAAAGAATAGTTAATGAGGAGAAGGAAAATAAGGGCGGTGAAAAAAGGATTACATTGGGACACTCACAAGAAATCAATCAAATTTTAAATCAATCTGTTCCGGAAAATATCGGTGATGAATCACGTGAGTACAATATATTATGATGTTAAATAATTGTTACGGATTCAAATTAAAAGCTTTGCGATATTTAAGTTCCATCAGTCGGTTTATTGTGCAGCTCTAAAGAAAATCGGCATGTTTCGTGTATTTCTGAAGACCCAAAAAAGTTATGCACGATCACTCACGAGTCTGAAAAGCTAGACAAAAATTCTGCATTATCTAGTAATGCTTTAGTAGTAGAGAAAATAAATACATCTTCCTGTGCAATCGATAATTTGCAGGAGTCGACTCGGTTAAAGGAAAAGAAGAAAGTCACAATATCACCGGATATGACCGATAGCGAAGATTTATATTTCCATTCGACGCATATTGTGAATGAGATGAAGAATTTGACAATTGACGCAGAGTCAGAGAATGTTCCGAGCGATGAATACTCTTTTCGAATGACACATGATACTTTAGTAGAACTTTTAACAGATGTGGAACCGGATAAAAATCATTGGAAATTAATGCGCAAAGTCGACCTCAGTTCAAGGAACCTCGAATCTTTAAATCATTTGGACCATCTTATGCCGAAATTGAAAGAGCTTGATGCGTATCCTTTGAAATTATTATTTTATTTATTATTTTTTTTTTTTCCCGACTGTCCTTGATTTATGTATCATTGAATTAGAAATTTTAATTTATTGCGATATCTGACTGGTTTGCCTTCAACAATAACTACTCTACAAATAAGATCCAACAGGTATGGACTCTCCAATTGTTTTCTAATTTTTATCACGTCAATTTCTTTATATTTAAAAATAGTTATTCTATTGTATCACAGACTTACAAGTTTAACCGGCTTCGCGCATTTACCAAATTTGGAGTACTTGGATATTTCGCAAAATCGCATTGAGTCATTGATTGGTAAAACTTTAATATATGCAAAATAATGATTTATACATTATTTTTATCTTTGTATTATCGTCACTAACGTAAAATAATTGGCACTTGTTTAAGACCTTTATCGCCTAGAGCATCTTCGCGAGGTTTGCGCCGATGACAATTTGATCACTAGTTGCAGCGCATTTTTGCGTATATCGGGACTGGTCAAATTGAGCCTAAGGGGAAACAAAATCAAGTCTGTGGATTTTGGTTCGTGTGAAATGTAAGAATTCATTGTATATAAATATTTACGATCACTTGGTTTTATATTAATAAAATCTGTTATATTAAGGCACCGACTGGAATTTCTTGACTTATCAGCAAATAGATTGGAGGCAATTGAAAACGTTGAGTCCCTTGATGCATTAAAAGCATTATATTTGAGTCAGTACATTTGTTTAAATTTAAGTTTATGTTTATGTTGGGAAAACCATTCAACAACATTTTCTCTTGTAGACTGTAATGCACTCACATCTTTTGGTGTAAAAAAACCGATGCCACAACTCAACAGTCTTCATATTACCTATAACAAGTTATCAGTCCTTGACGTCGGGTCATTCCCTAACTTGAGGTTGTTGTGGGTGGACGGAAACCGTCTAAAGACGATAAAACGACCTGAGACGCTTGCCTTTTTAGAAACCTTTTCGGCTCGTGATCAAAATGGTGGGCAAATGTAGGTTCGCCAGTTTTAATTAATTTGATTTCAATAAAATAACGTTGACATTTAAATTTTGGTATCATTTCATATCATATTAGGCCCCTGCCACTGAAACATCTACGAAACTTTAAGCACATCTATTTATCTGGCAAGATATTGGGGCATTTTAAATCTTGCATGAATAGGAATATACATTGTACATTTCATTTTCTTATTGATGTCAATTATTATAGGTAATCCGATTAAAACCTTGGAATCAATAATCGATTTTTATAAGCTCGAATACCTCGAGCTTTCGGGGACCTCTATTAAGGAATTGCCTCGTCGATTGAGTCAAGCTTGCCCAAGTGTCATCGTTTTAATATTGGGCTACAACGAAATACAGGATTTTTCTCCCATTCGAAAAATGAAACAATTGAGGCGATTGTTTTTGGAGGGTAATCAGATTAGCGATTACGTGACTTTTTCGGAAGTCTTGAAGTCTTTACCCAAGTTGAAATATATTGATCTAAGGTGAATGTGATGGAATTCTTTAGCTTGTTTTTCATCTCCTTGATTATTAACTATTTCCTTTCATTATTTAATTGTCTTTCAGGGATAATCCATTTTCGCTTAAGTTTTATCCGCCCATTGAACCCTACTCGACAAATATTCACATGAATACCTACACGATGCATCAGGGAGGGGAAGAGATATGTTGGGCTCGTCTTGATAAAGAATATCAACAGAAACTAGAAGATCAGTGGTATGTTAAACGGAATTTTTATCGGTACGATGTATTTCGTCGGTGTCCACATATCGAATGGCTTGATGGCGCATATGTTGAACCGAGGGAGAAGGAATGTGTTATTAATACTTTGCAAATGGAGACTGTTACCAAGGCGCTGAGGGGTAATTCATTTGTATGAGTATTTGCAGATTATTAAGGTATCATTAAATAATCCTTATTTATTCCCGAGCTTTTACATGTTCATTTACTTGAGCTGGTTTCCTAAGAAAATTTGAAATAAAAAATTATACGATCCGTTTAAAGGAATATATTTGTCACATGATAATTTCGGACTCGAGGATTAACGTTGATGGTATCAAAGTAATAACATCAATGAACAATGCCGAAGCGTTATTTTTTTTTTATTCATCAATCTTCTGATTAAATCAAACTCCTTAGCTACCTGGAGCATCATATCAAACATTATTTTATCCAAATATTGCGATCATTTTTTCACAAATAAATAAATAAATAAAATAACGCATAGATTAATCAAGGTAATTTATAAAATTGCGTATTCTTTCATTTTCAACCGATATTAATCAGAATCGGTTTTATAAAGTCTTGGCGAGTTATGCACAGAAAATTTTTATGTTATGCAAAAAAAATTATAAGACTTAGAGAGGTTGATATACATTTCACAGTTTTATTTCAGTCATTTTCTATCAATAATGATTTGGATGTGACATAGGTATAATAAAACTACGGTAATTAATAACTCATTCATACGTACAACCTAATTAATTTTGTTAGCAATCGCTGGATCATACTGAAGGTGCGCAATTATACACAATATCTTCACCTCGCATAGTATTGGGGTGGAAATGGCAACATCAATCGACAAGCAACCTATGAAAAAGTTCTTATTCTGGATCATCGCGGTCCTTTTCTTTTGGATCATCATTCTTCCGTTGACCTTTGATTTTCATGACTACTTCATGGCAATGGCACCACACGGTTCTCTTGCCGTGAGTGGATGGAAATACCGAACGCTCGCACCAATCACACCATTATCACCACCGGTGATTCTACGAACACCTTTCATTCACAAACGAGATCAGCCTGTGACTCAACGTGTAATAAAGAGACGCTCATCTTCAAAACCCAAAGGAACAAATCAGGGAGGCTTAAATCTAGCGCAACAACAATCATCCTCTCAAACGTTAGAGCACGAACTTCATAACCACTATGAAGAGGAAAGTGAGGATTGGTGGGAGGTTCGTAGATCTTACGAATACGAGACATCGGATTCTCTCGGAGATCTATTCTTGGTATCGGTGGAAGAGGCTCAGGTGATCCACAAGCAACACGCTTTGTTGGATGATTTACAACACGCTGATGTCACCACACAAGACAAGGAATCTCAAGGGACATTGAGTGCCGGGGGAAATCTGGGACTTGCCCAGAATAACTTTAATGCCAACTCCAGTAGCGTGGCAGTCTCCGAGATTCAAGAGCATCAACAAGAAGATTTGTTGGATGTTAAGCAGTATCAAAAGATTCACGTTTTACAAGTTTCGGCGGCGGGATTGATGGTTAATGAATACGAAGAAGAGAGATTGGCCGACTACCAATATTCATTGGAAGTGGATATCTTCAATCAATGGGAGTATCAAAGTCAACAGGAATCTCAGCACGCTGATAACTTTGTTGTGGGTTATAATTAGACAAATTTCCATTTACCAAGGATATTTTTTACACCATCAGTCATATACAGTATATATAATATTTCACGAATTATCCTAAAGCTAGCAAAAGTAGGTGGTTTAGCTTAAAAGCATCCACTTGACTGCTCACATTCTCATAAAATAAGCCAGATCAACTTGAAATCTGACAATTTATTGAGAGCGCACAAAACTTATTTCTCCTACCTTGGTCTTACCTTAATAAGACTTACCATTCAAATCGCTCGAAAAAAAAAAAATTGAGGTTGAATAATCTTGCTATAAATTATGGGATGTCGATGTTATAATTACAATTTATCAACAATCAAAAATTCTTACTTTTAGTCTTCTCAGTAAAAGTGATGCTGCGAGCAAATGAAATGACTTTTGTATAATCTAAGAACCATAAACCGTATCTATTTTAAAATGAGAATGTGTAAAAAAGGCAAACTGTAGTTGAATAATTTTTGCCAACCCTCAATTCCAACAATCTGATCGTCAATAGACGGAATCGTTTTTTTTTTTTTTTCGTGATAAAGTTATCGTGGAATTACTTTATTAACTTGTGCAAATAATTTATTCCTCCATCTGTCGTTTGGAAGGCAGCAATGATTGCGAAGCACTTGAGCTGTTATCAGAAGGATATTGTAGGCTTCCGCTAGGTGGAAAATATGCGGTGCCTGAGGGTGGTGGTTGAATTGCTCCGGGTGGAGGAGGACCTGATGATGGTATATTGGTGGAAGAACCCTGTGGTGGTTGAAAACCAGGTGCGTCTGGGGGTCTCATGTAGCTACTGCCCGGAGGCTGTCCAAAAGGCTGCGGGGGCATCGATGTTGGAGAAAGAGAAGGAGGTAATCGGGGAGCCGGTGGCCCTGGACTTAGCGGAGGCGCACCTCCAACACCAGGTGCTGGACCTAAACCTGGTGGCACGCCGAGACCCGGTGCAGTAACAGGAATTGCGCTCGCGGGATGACCTATCAACAATGGCGGAGGGATAACGGGACCTGGGAAGGAAAAAAATTTTTTCATCTCAATCGACATATGGAGCAAAAAAAAAACGAAATCGGGAAAATAAAGAACCAAACGATTGTTTACCACCGAACGGAGGAGCAACGACAGGTAATATCGGAGGCATACCGGGAATGTACCCATATTGAGGTGGAAAACCTAAATCAACATATATACAATGTATACGTTCGTAAATAAATATGCACAAAGTACAAATGTGTCAGACGATTCGAAATTTACCTGATTGTCCTGCTCGCTCGTATGCCTTGGTAATTCCGTCAATGATCGCTTGTGCTTTATCTTGACCCAATTCTATTCAACGAGAGAAGTGTATTGAGTAGGAAATTCTTTCCAGAAAGAGAGATCAGTTTAAAACCTACCAGCATAGTAATTTCGAACATTCATGATATGATTTTTACCATTGTTGTGCGCTTTTCGTACCGAAGAGGAGTCTTTTTGTAAAAAGCTAGATAAGCCTCGATCGCAGGACAAAGCCAACACAAAAACAATCTATACGTACCATGCGTTAAATAGACATCGCAATAATCTTTGATGCGTTCGTTAAAGAGTTGATTTGCAAAACCATAAGTAAAACGACAGATCGCGAGCGAATTTAATTCAATGCGAAGAAGGGAAAGCTTACCGCAATAGTATTTGGGCATTTTCGAAGATAGGTTCTAAACTTTTTTTTGAATACGTTACGTACATTAAATAACATTTAACCAATCGCAATCAAGCAGTCTTCACGTGTTCCCATTGTACGACAAACATTAACATGTGTCAAAAAAATTTTTGACATACAAAATGAAAAATGTAAAGGGAGAAAAAAGATGAACCTCTCTGTTCATCATGTGAAAACAAATCATTGTTTATCACACGTTCTGACATTTAATCGATAAGAATCCTCGGAAAGCTCGAGAAGAGTCACGATCGTGATTGGAAATCGACAACATTCTCGTACCACCATTTGAAATAGTTGTAATTAAACGAATTTACAAGGAGGGTAAGGTTGAGGAGTGATACTCATCAATTTAACCGTTGATCTACGGACCGACTCCCTACGTTGTCTCTATTTTTGATCAAAGGTTCGGCGGGAGGGAATTTTGTCATTCTTAGATGACCAATGATGATGCTAAATGATGAATAAGGTGATCGAGTGAATGCATTGATCTAACGAACTAATAAGTGTAACAGTGCCTTGACTGGAGGACAGTTTAATCCAAGTTTAGTTTATTGTCCGTCTACATCAACACATGCTTGTACCAGAGTAGTATGCGACTCCAACCTCTCTCTGTATGCTCAAATAAAGTTTGAGAGAAAAAAAATTTTTTAAGAGTAATTGATGTTGTGACCAACACAAACAGAAAAAAATTTTTTTGACAGGTAATGTGACGTCTAATTTTGCAGCGTACAAAATAGACCCGAAAGCCAATGGCAAGCTATCAGCATATGATGCTATTTCATACAACAAAACTTACCTTCGCACTCCTTTTTCTTGCACAAAAAAATCGCCGATATTTTATTTCGCGACTTTCTAGTTTTATCCTAACCACACAAGGTTTAACGCAAGGGAGCTATCTTCTGTAGAGAGTGTATTTAAATCTTTCAAATCCAGTAATTTCACTTCAAAAATTTTCCTCCTCGTATTTCATATTTCATATTTCCGGTCCCATAAAGTCTCGTCTTTTTCCTTTTTTCTTTTTTTAATTTTTTGGCAATCAACCAACCTATTTATTTATACAACGCCGCAAAAGAATATTTACTTTTGGTGTATAGAAAAATCTGTATTGGCAATGACACAACCACAGTCCACATATCAGAGAAACGCATATCCACCGAATTCCTCCTATTATCAACAACAAGAGTCACTTCCCAGTCCCGCGACTTCATCTCGTCCATCGCAACCATCGCAGTCGCAAGTGCAACCTCTTCCGGGAACGTTTCCAACTGTCCGTCATCCATATCACCAACCGCCACCGCAACCAACAAATGCAGACACGCAACCTTTACCGCATTACCAACAACCAACAACACACCCTTACCAAGGTGCGCATCCCCACGCACCGTCCATTCAGCCACCGAATTCACCACCACAACCCACACCTTTCATTCCGGAGTTGAATGGCACAAAAATATCTGGATCGCGACAAGAGATCAAGAGTATTCCCAAAAAAGAAATATACGAGTATAGGGCACCATGGACTGTCTACGGCCTAGATTGGTCGAAGCGTCCTAATGATAAGGGTTTCAGGCTTGCCCTAGGAAGCTTTATCGAAGATTGCACGAACAAGGTACCTATCTATTTAATATTCACTTCGATTTTTAATTACTTATTGCCAGTGTTTAGCTTCTCAAATTCGCGACCTACGACTTTTAAAAACTTTTAAGGCTCGCGTTTGGTCAATTAAAATCTCTTGGAAAAACGTGTGAAATTATTATATATAACAGATTCGCTAATGACTGTTATTACCTTTTTGCATCAACGAAAAAGCTTCAAATTATAACATCAGCCGATCAATCGTTCCACCGTTCTCCCGGAGTTGACTTTGTGAAAGTTGCCGAAATAGATCACGATTATCCCATTACCAAAATCCTGTGGGAACCTTATAAGGTTTATTGATAACATGGCGTCTTGCAGTTTACCTCGAACTCAATCACCTATTAAATTACATTTTGCCGAAAATATAAATAGGGTGGTATGAAAACGCCCGACCTGTTGGCAACAACCGGTGATTATTTGAGGCTATGGGAAGTCGTCGACGATGTGAATAATTCGAGTAATACGATTGGTGCCAATAATTACACGGGAAATAGACCGCAAAGGCTGGTTCACAAATGCACACTGAACAACGTAAGATTTTGCTAGATAACTAATCCTTTGTCTGGTACATCCGCGAGTCATTTCGACCAATCTTATTCTTTTGTTATATAATAATAGACTAAGGCTGATTTTAATGCACCGCTAACATCTTTTGACTGGAATGAAGTGGATACCACATTGGCAGTTACGTCGAGTATTGACACCACTTGCACTGTGTGGAATGTTGAAACGGAACATGCAAAGACTCAATTGATTGCTCACGACAGAGAAGTTTATGATGTCGCGTTTGTTTCGGGGTCTGTTAATATATTTGCTAGTGTTGGGGCTGACGGCAGTGTGAGAATGTTTGACCTGAGGTTCGCATGCATAATTCATTTGACGGTTTTGTGTTTGTGATGGTAGCTCATTTGACTTAATTCGATATATATAGAGCCCTTGAACATTCCACCATCATCTATGAACCCCATCATACGCAAGCAAATACGGCATCACCTCTTCTCCGACTTTGTTTTAACAAGATGGAAGCTAATTACCTGGCCACATTTCACATGGATTCTACAGAGGTTCAAATATTGGATGTTCGAGTTCCTGGAGTTCCCGTTGCAGAATTGAGGGGACATTTGGGTCCTGTCAACTGTGTCAGTTGGGCTCCAAATAATAGTGGTTATCTATGTAGTGGAGGTAAGCAATATGCTATCATGTCGTAGAACACTATTTATTCGTGTTTTTTTTTTTTTTCACACCGATGAACTCTTTGTACAGGCGATGATTCTCAAGTTCTTGTGTGGAACGTCACCGGTATGTCATCTCACAATGGTGCAGCTCCCGGCGTTCCCGGAAGGCATAATCGAGATCCGGACTTAACTTACAAAGCTGCCAGCGAGATTAGCCAATTAAGTTGGAGTACACAATGGACTGAGTGGGTGGCAATTGGGTTTGAAAGCACCGTGCAGGCGCTGAAAGTCTGACTCAGTTACGCGGAATGATTTGTGCAATATGCTCGTTAGATGAACGTTTTCTTTACAACATATTGTCAGTAGGGATTAATGAGAACAGCATGCGTGATATGTGTAATCTTACTCATTTTCGCGGGATTTTTTTTTTTTTCATTCAAATAATGCATACGTTTTGAATCTATTTAAGAAATATTTTCAATTAAAAGCAGGATAGAATCTTTTTTATCACTTGTAAATAGATTTTGTCATATTTTTCTTTTCTCTGCACACTTATTGATGGCCAATCACGGTGATACTTTTTTGACAATGTAATTATTGTCTTTGTCTAGTTACATATGAATTTCCATTATATATATTTATATATATATAAACAAAAAAAAAAAACATGGTTTATCTCGTATAGCCCGAAGTTTTTTGTTTATTATCACTTTGTGGTGGCTGCTTTGAATGTCAATGGATAGGTTCAATGCAAGATAAATCAAGCGTATTCCAATATTCTTCGAGCACACGAATTTGTTCAGGTTGCCGAAGCGATTGATCGTTAGCAATAAATCAAAGTATAGTTTTTTCATTAAAATAATAATTATGAAAATTGTGATTGTTTAATGTCGATTTTATGTTTTTTACCGCGAACTCGGGATCAAAACTACTGTTCAAGTAATCTCTAGAAGCTTTCAAATTCTATTCTACATGGAATTCAGATTGCTATATGATGAGTCAGTTGGAAAATAATGATAAACCCTCCGTAGTTTCAAAGTTCATATGCCCCATAAAATTTTTATGCATAATATTGTAGAGAGGTCTTCTTCTTGGCCATGACCTCTTGAATACCTGTGCGAAATAGGTGACGGGAATGAGGGTCTGACCATGATGGTAAACGGTGATAAAGTTCATTTCAATTCATTCATTAACTCACCATCCATAAAATCTTCGTGGTTCAATGCGGTCGCGTTTCTCCTCAAAGCCAACATACCAGCCTCCACACAAACAGCCTTACACTGAGCTCCATTAAACTCATCACAACAACGAGCTAATTCTTCATAATTTACATCGGCTCCAACAGTCATCTTACGCGAATGAATCTGGAGAATACGCGCGCGAGCCTCTTCATTTGGAAGTGGAAATTCTATTTTACGATCTAGACGTCCCGAACGCAGAAGAGCCGGATCCAAAATGTCGATACGATTCGTAGCGGCGATTACCTGACAAGAGAAACGCCTACAATCACCATCTTGAACACATTGATCCATAAAAATATTCGAATCACGAGAACTACATATACCTTGATTCTTTCATCGCTGCTGAATCCATCAAGTTGATTCAACAACTCCAACATAGTTCTTTGTACCTCACGGTCACCACTTTTTTCACTGTCGAAACGTTTTGTTCCTATGGCATCCAATTCATCTATAAAAATGATAGCAGGTGCCTTCTCTTTGGCCAAGTTAAAAGCATCGCGCACGAGTTTAGCACCATCTCCAATAAACATCTGAAATGGAAATTGCATTCTTATGTTTCAAATTTTCTTTGATCGAGTAAAAGCACAACAATGTTCCTTACCTGAACGAGCTGTGGACCGGCCAGTTTTAGGTATGTGGAATTTGTTTGAGCAGCACAAGCTCTTGCCAATAACGTCTTACCAGTACCCGGTGGACCATACATTAACACACCTAGTTTGTTGTTGTAGAAACATTAATAACTAGTGAACTCGAGAAATCCTTCTTATATCAAGTTTCAAGCGCACCTTTAGGTGGTTTGATTCCCAGATTCTTAAATCGGTCGGCATGAGTCATAGGCAACACAATGGCTTCCACTAATTCCTCGATTTGTTTATCCAAACCACCAATATCATTGTAATCTTCGGTTGGTTTTTCATCAACCTCCATAGCTTTGACGCGGGAGTCATACCTACGGTAAATAATACAATTAAGCAAGTTTTCGGTAATCCACTTTTATCGAGCCGTTTAACACTTACTCTGCAGGTAATGTATCCAAAACCAGATAACTGTCCTTGTTAACCCCGATTAAATCTCCAGGCTTCAATGTTGCCGGATCCACGAGTCCAATTAAAGGTAAGAAAATTGTCTGAACAAATGAAAATTTGAATTAGCTATTGAATTCTCTCAATTTTGTTTCCGTGTTTGTAATGCACAGACGAGAAACCGAATAAAAATCTGTTATATTAACCTGCCGCGTAGAAGTCTTGATCACGGCACATTTTCCTTTTCTGTGTGCGTCAAGATCTATGTTGGCGCCATCCTCTTCGGGTTCGTCATTCGGATCCATGTCGAGCAACTGCAATGTAATAGATTGTAAGCCTTTTTGATAAACTTCGGAACCAAGAAATTTGATGACAAAAAAACGCACTTTATTACCTCGACCACATTTCCTACAAGGTACGGCAACTGTTTATTGACCTTTATTTTCTCCTTGTTATCTTTTATTTTTTCTTTCATGTTACTTTGCTCGTGTGTCAGCCGATTTTGTTCAGATTTCATTCCCTATTTAAAATAAACCAAAATTGGATTCTTCTGTTATTATCGGAAAATAGCTGCAAGGAATTGTTAAATTCTTAATCTTTTAATATTCCTCATGACGACGAGGGTTCAAACGATGAAATTCTTATGAAACTATCACAAACATTTGATAAATGGAATCCGAGTAAAAATTAATTGACAATAATGCGAACGAAATTAAATTGAAATGAACAGACTAATTTTTTTTTTCGTTTGACATTTAATAAAAATGTTAAAAAGGTTCAAATGTAATTGACCTTAATTTCGTTATTGAGCAATCGCGTGCGACTGATGATATCATCGGTACTAGACTTCAAGATCTCCTGACCAAGATCTTCAAGTCCATCTTCCTCAGCTTTATTCCAAATCGTCTTATCTTCTAGAGTCCCCATACTTAAAATCTAAATCTAAGGATATTTATTTCGACTTCGATTATTTAAAATGTGACGACGATGCTTAAATAACTACATTTACGTAGACATCACTTGAATACGTAATTCGTGCGTACGTAATAAAAAATTATGATCTTCATCTGTATCACGTTATTTTATACTTTATTGTGCTGTGTATATGCTCAGATATTTAACCTTTTAATAATATAAAATTTATTTTTCAAAATAATAATAACTTGCTAAAGTAATTATTTCTTAGAAATGATTTAGATCTTTTACATGCAAAAAGTTTTGGATCAATATTTTTTATTATAATTTAACAAACGATTATTTAATTAAAACTAAAAAATTTAAATATAGATTTTAAATAATATAATAATATTATTATTAAAGTTTTATGGATAAGTTTATTAACAATAACTAATTTAAATTTAAATATAAAAATTAAGTATATTGACCTGTGGGTCTATAATGTAGTGGTTAACACTCCACAGGTCAGATCACAAGATACCAGTTTAACCCCAGGTGAAGACGGTTGAATCACATTAAAAATGGTATCTAGGATCATAACCTATCCCTTAAATCATAAGGCATTTTTTTTATAATGTTTAAAATTTTTTAACTAAAAAGTTGCTTTTCATTTATTTTTTTAA